AAGAACTACTCATTTAGAGCCCTTCCTTCTAGTACGCTTATAGAAAGCCCCATAGAAATCCTGATATAGATCCCTTTAAGGAGCCCTAAAGGGACCCTAATTTAGAGAACTACCCATTGAAGGTTTTGGACACAAAAACAGCCACCAAGTCGCTCCAGAGGCCCGTCTGGGCCTGCCAATCCAGGTCCAGAGGCGACGTTTGCCAAAGCGCTCCGAAGTTTCGAAGACTCCGGGCCTTGCGAGACAGGTTTAGGGTTTAAAGCTTAGGGTCTTAGGGTTTAGGGTTTAGGGTTTAGGGCTTCGGGTTTAGGATTAGGGTTCAGGGTTTAGGGTTTAGGGTTATTTGCCCACGAACGAAGGCCCGAAAATGCATGGGCAAGGCCATTTTCTACGTTTTGAACTTTGCCCATGACCCAATGCCCACAAAACGGCTTCGTGCACGAGTTTTCGTGCCGTGCCCACGAATTTACCTGCCTTGTCCCACAAATTCCATAAAGGTTTCAAGTTCTATGTGATAGAGAAGGTTAGGGTGTAGGATTTGGGTAGTTCTCTAAATTAGGGTCCCTTTTTTGGGTCCCCAATATACTATGGCACCCTTATAAAAAGGGCCCTTAAACGGGATCCTAATTTAGAGAACTACCCTTTTCAGGTTTAAGGGACAAAAACCCTAAGGGTCCAAGTACCTAATAGTCATAGACTCTCCCAAATAGTAACCTACATAACTACTAGCCGAAACCTAAGTACCTGATTCTTGGGTCCTTTGGACCCTTGGGGAAAAAGCCACCAAGAACTACTCATTTAGAGCCCTTCCGCTTATAGAAACCCCCATAGAAATCCTGATATAGATCCCTTTAAGGAGCCCTAAAGGGACCCTAATTTAGAGAACTACCCATTTAAGGTTTTGGACACAAAAACAGCCACCAAGTCTCTCCAGAGGCCCGTCTGGGCCTGCCAATCCAGGTCCAGAGGCGACGTTTGCCAAAGCGCTCCGAAGTTTCGAAGGCTCCGGGCCTTGCGAGACAGGCCTAGGGTTTAGGGTTAACAGGGTTTAAAGCTTAGGGTCTTAGGGTTTAGGGTTCAGGGTTTAGGGTTTAAAGTTTAGGGTCTTAGGGTTTAAGGTTTCGGGTTTAGGCTTAGGGTTCCGCCGATAGGGAAGTTTGGTGACTCTCCGTCTTGGAGCTAGTTAGAGGTCCCATAAGGCACATGTAACGGGAGCCATTAGGCCGTAGCTTAGCTTCTGAGCCCTGTCATCAACATCATGGCCTCATGGTCGACCTTACGTTCGCTTATTTTGGGAACCTTAGAAAACATAGTAATCAGAATAATAATGGCCATTAGTCATGTAGTAACAATACGTTATGATAACAATAATGAAATTAATGATATGAGTATTCATAGCAATAACAAGGATAAAAACCTAAACCCTAAACCCTACTAACTCACTAAGCTCCTGGCCACTGAAACCCTAAACCCTAAACCCTAAACCCTAATAACTCACTAAGCTCCTGGCCACAGGGATCCCCCGGATAAGGGCCAGGTTCACCGAGAAGCTGATGGCGCCCTTGATCATCGGCAGCTCCGAGCTCTTCGACACCTTCGGTTTAGGGGCTTAGGGGGTTTAGGGGTTTCGGGCTTTAGGGGGTTTAGGGGCTTAGGGGTTTGGGGCTTAGAGGTTTAGGATTTAGGGCTTTAGGGGTTTAGGGGTTTAGGGGTTTAGGGGTTTAAGGTTGTACGGGTTTTGGGGGTTTAGGGGTTCAGGGCTTAGGAGCTCCTTGACACCTTGCCGGGGTGTGGGGGTTTGGGATCTTAGGGCTTTAGAGTGTCGGGGCTGCGGGGAAACCCTAAACCCTAAACCCTAAACCCTTTAAGCTTCATTATGACTGTCGAGACACCATGATGGATTGTAATTGTGAGCTCAGGGAGCTGTGGAAGCTAAGAGGGCTGCGGACGGAAGGCCGGGCAGGTAGCAGATTGGCGGAGGACTGGGGTGAGAGTGTAGAGTGATCGTCGTCTTCTTCTCCTTCTCCATTGTCCAGCACCTTTAGGGTTTAGGGTTTAGGGTTTAGGGTTTAGGGTTTAGGGTTTAGGGTGGCTTCTTCTTCAGGAACTTGATCTAAGGTCACATCACAGGAACACATGCCTCCCTCGCCGGCAACTTAAACTACTCTTAAGACCCCACGAGCCACTTTTTCAGACCACAACCCATAAAGCCCGACCAGACCCCTTACACAAAAAATAACAAATGGACATGAGACCCTGATAAAACTGAAACCCGTATAAAACCTTTGTAAGGTCCTCAAAGGCCGTATGCCAAACCCGTTTGATACCCTACTTGGAGGATCATGGGACTTAGTAAGTTAGGTTATAATATACATATATATATATATATATATGAGTCCCCTAATTGGGGTTATAAGTATAGTTACCTTAGTTATAACCCTACTTACTAAGTCCCATGATCCTTTAAGTAGTGCTGTTCACCGAGAGCCCAGGCGCAGTTCCCACTACTTCTGCGGGAACCTGGTCCAGCTGACTTTCGCAGCAGCTTTCCTTCGCCCCCATGGCAATAAACCCTAAACCCAAAGCCTTAAGCCCTAAACCCCAAGCCCTAAACCCAAAGCCCTAAGCCCTGAACCCAAGACCCTAAACCCTAAACCCAAAACCCAAAACCCTAAGCCCTAAACCCAAAGCCCTAAACCCTAAACTCTAAACCCCAGACCGGGTGTAGTTGTGCTGCAGCGCACACTCTAGTTGCTGCGGCTCTTGCTTGAAGCTCGCGGGATGTTGTAAGCGGCTGAAAACGGGCTTTTTGGGGGTTGGGGGTTTAGGGTTTAGGGTTTAGGGCTTTAGCGCTTTTAGGGTTAAGGGTTTAGGGTTTTTATGGTTTAGGGTTTAGGGTTTTTATGGTTTAGGGTTTAGGGTTTTTACGGTTTAGGGTTTAGGGTTTTTATGGCTTAGGGTTTAGGGTTTAGGGTTTAGGGCTTTTAGGGTTTAGGGTGCAGGGGTTTGGGCTTCTGGGGGTTCACACGGACGTGTACGGCTTTTTGGATCCGGCCACGCGCTAACAGCAGCAAAGCGGGAAGCGGCAGACGGGGGCGAGGTGCTGCTAGAGCTAAACCGGTAAACTCAACCTCTGAGTCCCAAGCCATAATCCCCGAACACTGATACTGGCGTCTTCGATGTCCCTATTAGGGTCCCCTATTCTTAATTTTCGGAAACTAAGGATCCTACTATTTAGGGTATTATATTAGGGTCCCCTGAACGAAGGCTACCTGAAGCTCTATCACACCGACCCTGCATCCCAGACTTCAAGTCCTCACCGAAAACCCTGAAACTGCCACGAGACCCCTCTAAGACGTCTACAACCTGCGCAAACCCTAAACCCTAAACACCAAAACCCCAAACCCTAGACCCTAATTAAACCCTAAACCCCAAACCCGAAACCCTAAACCCCAAACCCTAAACCCTAAACCCCAAACCCTAAACCCTAATTAAACCCTAAACCCCAAACCCCAAACGCTAAACCCCTAATTCAACCCTAAACCCTAAACCCTAAACCCCAATTCAACCCGAAACCCGAAACCCTAAACCCCAAACCCTAAACCCTAATTAATCCCTAAACCCCTAAACCCTTCTAAGACCCCTCAAAGCCCTTCGGCCCGAAGCCCCACTCCCAACCCAAGCAAAAGAGGGGTAGTTTTCTAAATTTGGGTTTAGGGTTTAGGGTTTAGGGTTTAGGGTTTAGGGTTTAGGGTTTAGGGTTTAGGGTTTAGGTTTTTGGAGTACGGCACCATTATAAAGAGGACCCTAAAAAGGGACCCTAATTTAGAGAACTACCCATATAGAAGCCTCTAGAAGCCTCGCGGTGTTCTGCGCAATCCAGCACACAAGCGGTTTTGGGTTCAGGGTTCGGGGTTTGGGGTTTGGGGTTTAGGGTTTTGGGTCTAGCGTTTCGGGTTTCGGGGTATCTATCTCCCTAAACCTCAAGCCCTTCAGCTTCAAGCCAAAACCTTGAATCCGCAACCCGCGAAAAGCTCCCTCGACGGATCGGATCGATGAGCTTCTGGCTTCAGAAAGACTTTCATAAAGAAGGGTTCTTGCATTCAGTGTGGTTTATGGGCTTTTTTTGGGTGGCTCTAGGGCTTCGGGGCTTTGGGGCTTTAGGCCTTTAGCAACCCCAAACCCCAAACCCTAAACCTTAATTTTCAGGTGTTTGGGTCTTGGGCTGAAGGTTGACTGAGCCTTTTACGACTTATCTTAAGGCTTTCTGCCTGAGACTACGCAGAGTCGTCCATTTGGTTTATAGGGTCTTGAATTTAGGGCTTACAGAAGACCTTGCTACATGCTATGTGCATGTGCGTATACATAAAACACATACACACAGACACTGTAACCCTACACACTAAATCTCGAACCCAATAGCGAACCCTGAACCGTTCTGCACATGGGATTTTCTCTGAATTAAAGCCCACCAGAAAAGGTAAACCCTAGGCCTAAAGCTCCGAATAAGCCCTAAGAAGTAACAAGAGATAAATTCCTCTTATGAACTACAAATATACTACAGTACAGGATCATAAGCTTAAGAGCTACGCCGTTATGTGAGCTCATGGGTCTGCTGCTAGCGCCTCGACGCCGTCCGGTGCACTGCCCGAGGCCCCCCCTGACATCCGGCTCGCAGGGCTCTGTTAATGTAGGGGCCTTAATAATTAGAATGTGGTTCTGGGCTCCTTCACCCTAAACCCTAAACCCTAAACCCTAAACCCTAAACCCTAAACCCTAATAACCAGAATAAGGAACCCTTGGGAATAATGTTGGTAATCATTTAGTCTTCTATATCAAAGGGTTTTCTGTTTAGAGTTTGGCCATGAGGCTTGAAGGGTTTGGGGCTTAGGCGTTTTGGGGTTTAGGGACAAGGCTTAGGGTCTTGGTGGCTTTTGGAGGGCTTTGGCGCTTTGCAGGCTTTGTGCATTATGTGGGGTTTAGGGTTTGGGCTCTTGGCGGTTTAGGGGTAAGGGTCAGGGGCTTTCGGGTTTAAGTGGGGATCTCCCTGTTGTATGATGATACCGGAAATAAGGACCCGAATGTGTAGCTTATTGAAATTCAGGGCGCCTTAGTGAGTGTCGAACCCTAGTAAAGCGAGTACGTAGTATTCCAAGTGCCACGACGGTTGATTCTGAACATTATCTCATCACGATTGAGGTTACGAATATTGCAGCCACTATTGCTAGAGTTCATGCTCGTATCTGCTAGGGACTTGCGATTCTTGGGATTGCGCGCATCTTCCCAGAGTGGGGATTTGGTATCAGTGCCCGGGGCAAAATTTAGGATGTAGGATTTGAGAGTGTTGGACGGTTTAGGAATGGGTTTAGGGGTTTAGGGGCTTAGGGGTTTAGGGTTTAGGGTTTAGGGTTTAGGGTTTAGTCTGTTTTATGGTCCTCTTTTCTGAAACTCCGGCATGCTCAGACCCAAGGACCTGCCGACCCGTCCATCCACAGGGGAGGTGATACTTCTACATGGGTTTAGGGTTTAGGTTTAGGGTGTAGGGTTTAGGGTTTAGGGTTTAGGGCCAGGAACATTTCCCTAAGCATCATGGCTCGGTGCCCCTTTCTTTAAACGGTAGTGTCATGGCTCACATGCACTCTGCTGCCCGGATCTGCTGCACACTCACTTTGACACCGACGTGGGCCAGATAAAGCTTCCGCTTCACGTCCTCATCTGCTATAGGTGGCATTGCCATCGCGAAACTAGCAAGGCTCCCATGGCAACCAGGCAGAGGCCCTAAACCCTAAACCCTAAACCCTAAACCCTAAACCCTAAACCCTAAGCCCTAAACCCTAAACCCTAAGACCCCTAAGACCCCTAAGACCCCTAAGACCCTAAACCCTAAGTTGACTCTGCTGGTAGCGAACAATGACGGCCATTGCCTGGGCCGTGGCCAAAAAGCCATCTGTCATCCCCAAGGCCGGCACCTAGGGTTTAGGGTTTAGGG